AAGTTCCCTTAGTTATGCATCTATAAATGCATGGTGTATTGGTAGCAGTAATCAATCAATCAATCAAAGTCAATTTGTACACATATGACCATATAAGAAGTGTTTTTTTGCTGAAGATTAAAGCTGTAGCTCTAGCAGGCATAGGCTCCAGCAAGCCAATCAGGAGCCGCGTGGGTATGTTCCAGCGTCCTCACTAATCACCTGATTGGTCAGTTGTCAATATCAATATTTATTTGTAAAGCTCATTTAAAAACAGCCTGTTTTTATCATAGTGCTGTATACAAGTGAGTGAGTGTTGTTTGGAGACATATTTGGAGTTACAAAGAATCAATTCAATTCAATATATTCTTGTATAGGCCTAAATCTCAACAGTAGTTATATCAAAGGACTTAAAAAAAAATAAAAACAAATAATTCTCCAACGACAGATAAGAGAAAAAAACAGTTCAAACTCAAAGACTAGAGAACCCATACCGTCGGTATTGGTCCATGGGGGGGAGTTGACCAATGTCCATAAGTGTTGATAAATGGCGGTAAGATTAGATATTATCAACAACATTAGCATCGCATTACATTAGCATCACCATCTATTTTTTTCCCCAAAATGGAGAGTTTGACACAAATGGTTACAGTGTAATGAGGAGTTTACTTTCCATTAAGTGAATGGGAGCCAAAGCTAGTAAGCACAAAAGCCACGAGCACTTCCCCAGTAGGCTTTACAGAGCTAGCAGGTTAGCATTGTCTACAGTCTATGTTTGTATAGCATAATTCATAAGAAGGCAATCCCAAGTGCTTCACAAATTATTCAAAAGTACAATAGAATAAATCAAAAAAAAAAAACTGTTGCATAATATTCCTGCGTGAGAGAGTGTTCACTGTTTTTACTTTCGCTTTCTCAGCCTGTTCCACTTTGTGTTGCTCAAGGGGAATGTTGTCAACTGTCAGTATCAACCTCAAAAGTCAGATGCTTGATATTCATTAGGCACCGGCTGCATTTTGAGCTGTAATAATTTCATTGACGCTTGAGTATTTGCTTGTACGGCCTTGGGCTGAGAAAACATCTGTGTGTAGGCAGCATCAGCTAATGCGCGTTTCCTGACAGAACAATAGCACAGTATTTCCTCTCCGTTATTGTCAGTAATGTGATGATAAACTAGTTTTGGTTTTGGCCCTATATTATTTGTCTTCAGACTTTTGGAAAACATGATTATAGGTCTCACTTATCTGTTGCTCATAAAAAGACAAAGGAGGCAAGTGTTTTAACTGTTGTTTTTTCATCTTGAAAACCTTTTAATTCATACATTTTATCAGCAATCCACATTATAGACCATTCCAAACCAACCTTTTTTATAAAGCACTTTAAAAGCTTTACAGATGATTTTATGTATTTATTTATAGAAAAATATATATACATATTTATTTACTTTATAAGCAATACCATACTTTTAAGACAATGCAGTAAAACAATGCCGTCTTAACAGTAAGCAAACACATTTACAAAAGGACACATTTTTTGGTATTTTTTTCTATTGTACTTTTGTCTGTGGTCTTGTTGTGGGTCCCATTTTGAATAACACATAAATTACCATAAGCCGTTTTTTTCATAATTTAAATGTATTATCAGCCGTCTTTGTCCTCCACAAAATAGAATGTCCCACCTCAAAGCTACAAAGGGGAGTGAATGTGAGGGAAAGGACATTATGATCTAACAAGCAGCCTGCGTTTTTGAAGAATGAGTGGGCGAGTAAAAAAAATAAGAAAGTGGCTGCAGCCTTTATAGATTGCTCAAACCAAGTATTTGTCTGCTTTCATCAGATCATATTTTGTATATTATTGCATATTCATAAACAAAGTGACATGTCTGTTCCTCATGTCGCATTTTTCACGTTTTAGTTTTTTGTTTGTATTGACAACATATAACCATCAGACTCTTGGAAACATGACATTACAAAATTAAGATTAGTCCCTGTTATTGCCAGTCAAATCAAACAATTTGAAATAAGTCAGGACCAGTGTTAGCCTGTTCGTACCACGCCATAGTAAAAATAATTTTTCGTACTAAGGTCTGGAGGTGCTTAATTGAGCTCCGTTAACAGGTGGGAGGGGTTAACTCCTATTGCAAATTGATACGATTGGATCTGTGTTAATCGTCCATCCATCCATCCATCCATTTTCTTCCCCTTAATCCATTTCTGGGTCGGGGGGGTGGCAGTCAGAGCTGCACCCAGTACACAGAGCACCAGCCCCTCACTGATCCTCCTGCAGGTGGTGAGTCCACAGGAGCTGAGATCTTTCAGTGGGGGCTTCAGGCAAAGTGGGGTTAAGTGTCTTGCCCAAGGACACAACGACAGCAGTCATCAGTGGGAGTTGTGAAGTAGGTCTTGAGGTGGGCTCGAACCCACGACCTTCAGGCTCAAAGGCCAATGCTCTACCAACTGAGCTACTGTCGCCCCTGTGTGTTAATCGTATCCAATTAAAACATTGGCGTATGTAATGCCCCTGAGTGAGTCATTAGCATTTAGCATTGAGGCTAACCATCTCCTTTGCCACTAACGGAGCCCGTGGGGAGTAGTGCCACAATCTTTGCCAGAAATGACTTTTGCTATACATTCAAAATTGAAGCTCCGGCTTAAATTTCTTGATAGAACCAGACCGGAATACTTTACTGTCGCATTCTTTGCCATTGCCAAACTACAACCAGCCTGTTCGGCGCAAGCTCTTGACGTCACCCACATCTTACACACCCGGCTCCCGTGCTCGCTGATCGGTCGGATGGAATTCCACCGATGTAACTGCAAACACAAGGACCAAATCCAGACGTTACATGCAGGGAAATGATGATCGACCGCAGTGTACGGATGGCTAAGGCCAGGCTAGACCAGTGTGTGTAAAAATTAAATATGCAAAAAGTTAAAGGGACTCTCTGCTCTGGGTCCAGGGAAAATAGGTCTGAATATCCTACAACCGGTTCAGACAAGTTTCATTCCTTGTGGGAGGAAGTTTGGGTCCTGGTTCTGTCTCGAGTGTGCGTTTCCCCATTCTGTCCAAATGGCACTGTTCTGTCCAGGGTGCAACCGGCACTGAGAACCATGACATGAAGCCGACATACCGATTAAACGTACAGTACACGTCATTGACTAGTTGACTAATCGAAAACAGATATTGTTAGTGACAGCTCTAATTTTCAGTGAGATTTCTCTCAGCTATGAGGGAGAAATGTTACAGAAACCTACAGGTCTACAGTTGATTCGATCCACCACACCTGTTCTACCTTCTTTATGAATGAGTGAACTTTGAGGCAAGCTTTGATTGTTTCTGTTATAGAAATATTTTAGTAAAGCAATCTGAATTAACACCTAATAGTTATGAGTGTAAGTTATTAACTAATAGTCCACTCTGGATTCAGATACAGGCCATAGTGCTCTGTTGGCAGCAGGTCAGTGATAGATGGAGACGTGCTGCATCATGTCTTTGACCTGGGTCATAGAACAATATGTTCAGTTCAAAAGCAGATTGTTACATATATCAGAGTTGTATCAGCGTTAGGACGCGTAAAGAGAAGCCTTGAGCAACACATATCAATGTTGACTTCATTTATGTAATATCTAGAGTAGATATGTGTTTGTTTACTCTGGTCTATTTAATGTACAGTTATTTCCTCAATCGTGGCAGTCGATTTCGGACGGCTGCCAGGTGGTATTGGTATCGGTTCTGTTATTCATTGTAATTGTGCACATTTACTAATGAATAAACTCACACTTTGTTTGGAATTACAGCTCTGGGTTGTTTATGTTATTTTACTCTTGTTATGTGCAGAATTTCTACAACATTTCCAATTTTGAAAAGGGGAGAATGAGTCATCAAAAGCCAAAGGTCTTCAGGAAATAATTTTTACTCCATAGGGGTTTTTTACCCAGCCCCGGGTCTTCAATGTCTGTCAATTCAAATCACTAGCCTGTGCTCATTGGCGCATCCCAAACATTAGCAGAAGTGATGTATTTGCACAGTGGTTCTTCTTCCTTTGTCATGGTTTGGATTTTATTTTTGTTTTTTTGTTTTATTTTGAAATGAGTTCTCTGTGGTTTGGTTCTATAGTTGTACTTCCTGTCTTGTTCTCCTGTCTTGATTGTCTGCCCCGCCCTGAAGTTTTTCACCTGTGTCTCTGTCTATACCCTGTGATCCTCTCCCCTTGTTGCTGTTGTATTGTTTCGGTCTTTGTCTGTGTTACTGGTTCCTTGTTCCTGTGTTCGTTTTGGATTTTGATTTTGTTTTACCTTGTCATTAAATCATTATTTTTCCTGCATTCCTGCATTTAAAGTCTTCCTCCTTCCCACCTCGTGACATTCTTAGGACCATAGAAACACCTCTGACCAATCAGCGCCAACTGTGGATGGCACTGCTTTACTCACGTTGCGCTCATGCTCTGAATCCTCATGTAAGGATTCAGAGCAGAGCTAGAACGGGACGAGTTTGTTGCACAGAAGTATGGATTTCAAAAGAAAAAAGGATAACAAGAGACACTAAAATCCCCACAAAATCCGACCTTTGTCAAAGCTGTAGGTTTCCTGTCAGCTGAGGATGAGCCGTTTAAGTTTGAGGCCGCAGTTGGCCCCTTGTCCATGCTGGAGACGGGTTTAAGCTAGCAATACTCTACACAGATAATACAACACATCCATATTATTTACATACATTTATTTGGAGGCGTTTGACATAATAGGCACAGAGTCAATAATCTATATTTATTTATGAGATATTTACTGCATTGTTTGTTATATTCCACAGTATTGCAGGTAAAACAACAGTCTCATGAGATTTTTTTTTTTAAATTATCCTCCATTTAAAGGCATTGTTTTCTGTAAGATAATCATATGTATATTTTCCCATGTGGAGGTCCCTGCATCACCATGTGCATACCCATTGAACATGCTTTCTTACCTTCTGGCCTGCTTTGCTCCCATCTACTCTCTCATCCCTCATCCCCATGTGGGCTCCGGTGTGCAGTGCATGGGCTGTGGGAGGAGTGGTCGTCATGGAGTCTGTGCTCTGTAACCTGTGGGCGGGGCCTCCGGACACGAACCAGGAAGTGTGCGAATGCGGATGAGGCGGCGGAGTGCGATCGACCGCAGTCTGAGACCAAACCCTGCAACATAGCCATGTGTCCGGGTCAGTACCATCCCCATCTACACTCACCTGCTGCCTGCGTTGCCTGATCACGCATGTTTCACTTGTGCTTTTCTTCTTTTAAATCACCAATCACCATTCTATGTACAAACATTGCCCAGATAGCAACATATATAGTGTGCATGTTTTGTATCTGTTTGTTCCAGTAACATCTCTTTGGAAAACGTGCACAGGTGTAATTTTGTTTTACTTTTCTCAGTACCTCTGCCTGTGGTGTACTTTTACAATGTTAGGAAACATGTCAAATTGAGGTTCAGGGTGCTTGCACAAGTCTTGAAAGTTTTAATAAGTATGGAATTTTGAAGCACTGTTTGCCAGACCTTGAAAAGTCTAGAATTGTGTGTGAAAGTCTCAATAAAGTACGGGAAAAAAATGTATGTTAGAATTTTACAGTATGCTCAAAGGCATTGTGAAATGAGGAATAGGAAGGTAGGCTATACAACTATAATTTTACTGGTGACGTACTGTATTAGCCTAATCTATAATAATCTAATAATCATATCCAATCAACGCTTGCTTATCCTAGTCTGGCACATTTTCATGATGTCACTGCTGAGGTCTATTGACACATAGCTAGCCAAATGGCAACAGAAATGGATCGTTGCGTGTTTTTGAATTTATGGTCTTTTCAATTTTAAGGTCTTAAATATCAGTTTTTAAAAAGTATGGAAAAAGTCTGGATTTTGTATTTGGAAAAAGAGCAAGCACCCTGGAGGTTTGCACACACGTTTTTTATTACTATTTTACACGGGTAAGGATTCATCAATTTTATGTAAAAAAATATCCTCATTTATCAGGTTTATTCATATATTTTGTGCGACCAGTTTTATGTGACCATTTTCAGCCGGATAGTGACTTTTCTGGGGTTAATAGAGGTAACTATGGGGGCAGATTATTGCTATCCGATGTCACGAAAGATGAAAACATAACCCCAGTCATTATTTGGGATGGACAACATAGTTTCATTTATGTGCACTATTAGAGTTCTATATACACAGACTCTTCACCCAGAGTAGTGTTTCAATATAGTGCAGGCTTTGCTCTCTCTATGGTCGGCTCAGTTTAAATTGCTTGGTGGCCCAGGGGTTCGGCTCTTTAGGTATTGTCTCTGAGATTACCTATTAGGTTCCATACCTTGTCAAGCACCGTAATAAGTCGCCAGTCCAGCCCCATCTAATTCTGGTGTGGAAGCGACCACAGGACTTTCTCCCAATCTGCTTCAGACTGCCCAAGTGAGACATCTTTATCAGACAGCCAGCAGAGTGGAATGCAGTGGGGTGCAGACTGAAATAAAGTCACAATAGGGGAAAGAAGAAAAAAAAAAGTCTTATCCCAGTGCAAGTGAGATCATTGCAAAGCACATGGCACCGGCAGCTCCTTTTTTCCACATGGTAATTTCACTTTCCACTCTCTCAAATATCCTAATGCAAGCTTTGATAAATCCCCGACATCATTAAACATTAATACTATTATACCCTCATCAGTAATTTATTTTTTTGTTGAAAGTCAAGTCATGCATACCTGCATTGAATATGAATTAGGAAGAAAGTGACTTTGCAAAACGTTGACATAATCATGGTGTTGTTTTTTTTTGTTTTTTAAAGCATTGGCATTTCAATGTCTATTTCAGTCGTTTATTTTGTCCTTGTTTACTGCTGTCTTCTTATTTTAGCACCGTAAAAAGGATTTACTTAGCAGAACTGACAAAAATTGACTCATTTGCAACAATGAAAAAGATGGATTATTTTTATACATTAGTGAGAGTGCAAGATGAAAACACACGTTTACTTAAAGCTACCCTTTTGATGCCTTTTAATATTGATAATTTCGAACCATTTTCTTCTCAAGTGGCCTCTCCAAGTCTACGGCCTGGTTTAGCTTCTTTACTGAGTTATATTTGGTTGTTTCTTCCTTGTTCTGTTTTCCACCACAGTGCTTTTATAAGGATAATATTTAAATGAATCTGTCCCCGTTGCCAGACAAAGAGGCTATGAAGTGCGAGGAATTGCGAGAAGACATAATCTCAAGTGCAGCCTGTGGGAGGGTTTGTGCCATGCTGTTTGGAGACTTGATGGAGAGTGGGGTTTAGGGAAGGAATAAATAAATATTTTGGATTTTATTTTTATGTTTCCTTCAAGGGCCTCGAGGAAAAGTTCTGATTGTATTTTATTGTGCAGACGGGTGTGTGTGTGTGTGTGTGTGTGTGTACGCAAGGGGCAGTTCAAAGGCGGTGGAGATTCGATTGATCTTTTCTTCACAGATGTCACTCGATGTGAAGAAGGCTTATATGACACACTTTTCCTTCCATGGGCTATTAAATACACATGCTATTATTGAGTGAAACCGAAAATTGGGGCTGTACGTAACAATTTTGTTTCTATAATGGATCCTGAACTATATTCTTAGTAGGGCTGTCAAAATTATCGCGTTAACTCACGTTAATTAAATTTTTCATTAACGCGTAAAAAAAAAATTAACGCATTAACGCAGGTCCAAACGACCTGCCCATTTATCCATAATATCACTCAGAATGCTGCGTGTGAGATGCATCAGAGCAGGTAGGCCTTCTGGGAACTCATGTTTTAAAAGAATACACGTGTGACCGCGGGGCTGTTTGCTGTGAAATGAAGTCTGCCTCGTCCGCGGCCGCTCTGGCTGCGAGCCGCTAACAACAACACGGCTGTGAGCCGCTAACAACAACACGGCTGGGGGCTGCTAACAACAACACGGCTGTGAGCGGCTGTGAGTGAATTACTATTAACTATTGTCTGCATGTTGCGTTTGTGTCTTTGCAACCTGTGCACGCAAATACACCGCAGAAGTGTCCGTGTCTCCTCCTGAAACTAAACTAAACTAAACTCGCTGAACTAAAGCTGGGATACGTAAATTCCCCCCTTTCATTAACAGCTCATTTTGGTTGTGCCCAAAAGCAAAAGGTTGTGAGCAAATCTAACAGATTGAAGTACATTTGGTATGAATGACAATGTGTCATTATATTTTATTATCTCATTTAACTTCAATTGGAGTGGATTTGAAATAGAATGTTAAAAATGCGATTAATCGTGAGTTAACTCACCATTTCTGTGCGATTAATCAACAAAAAAAAATTAATTGTTTGACAGCACTAATTCTTAGCAATAGTTTTTTTCAGTGGAGAAAAAAGAAACAGGGATGCTGGGATGACATTGTATTTTAGCATTCAAATAAATCACTAGAGTAAAACACAGTATCCCAAATGGCACATTTATGGGAGTTACTATATAGTACTTTGGGCAGATTGACAGAGCTTTTTTTTTTATCCAAGAGGCCAGGAGTGTTTTTTTATCTAAGAGGCCACTTAATATGTAAATAGAAAACAATAGTGATATACCATATACTACTATGAGAGGTAGTTGGTTCCATATTTTGTAATTTGTAAATTAAAAACCCCAGTTGGTGCAAACGGATTCATGATGCATATGGCGCCGTGGCATGCTCTGCCAAAGAAAATTCCAAGTGGTGACTTTTGTTACTTACGTGGCAATAAAAATGATTCTGATTCTGATGTAGATACAGTGGTCCCTCATTTATCGCAAGAGAAAAATAAGCTGCATCAAGAGAAATCAGAGAAGATTCCTAACCTATCCCCTAATTTGTAAATGTCTCCTGTATGAGATCAATAAAGTCTATCTTATCTTTTCTCTTCAGCTGATATAGAAACCTATCTGTAAAGCATTTTTCCTCTAAGTCCCTGAGTGAACCAGACTCGCGCGGTTCTGGTAAAGTGAATCAGATCGATACGCTCTTAGTTTGTCGTGATTCGATTTAACCAAACAAGCGCGCCCAGGTCCTCATGTCTCCACAGACTTTTATCCTAATATTTCAATAAGAATTCATGCATTTCTGCTAAAGTGATCCGTCCTCCAGCCCCTTTGATTTTAGAGATTTTAGCTAGTGTCTCTAATCCTTCGAGTTTCCATTTTCCTTGGAACCAAACTAACTATATTTGAAATTCTAAAACAAATTAACAAACCGCAAATCCTCATGAAGCCCGACAGGCAGCGCCGCGGTCGAAGTTTTGAGATGCATTTGAGAACCATTTTGTGTGTAGTTTGCATGTTTTCCCCTTGTCTAATCTTAAGCCCTAAACTCCACATAAAACACTATACTCTTCCCGCAATACTATTTCATTTTTTTCTTTAATTTACGGAGCAGAAGCCATAATCTACAAAGCTCCAGCGTGGGCGGTATGCTGGCATGTGCACGTGAAACAGTCTGACACCTCCTGTTTTGTTTAACACTATAAACAAGCAATTAGGAGCCAACTTTGTATGTGCCGTATATGTGCAATGCTGCGTTCCCTATTTCTGAACATGCTCTATCTTAATTGCTCCAACGGTAACGTGGTATCGCTGTGTGCTATTCTTTGAGTCCAAATTAGTGGTTTCTTAAGGCAGAGGAAACAGAGCATGGCATAGAATACACAGTATGATTGACCGCATTACCAAAGACAGTAGGCAATAGCGTCCCATTGGGGGAGCTAGACAAATACATTTGCAGCTCTGTACTTCACTTGTTCCATGTGAAAGCCCCTGTGTGTTCAATGTGAGCCTCAATACATCATTCGGAGAAGGAAAAGAACATGCCTCACTGTGAATTGCCTTTGTGGCTAATAAAAAGACAAACTGTCCCATGTCCACACTATGGGAAGTGTGTTGTTTACTGCTGTATGTAGCTTTTGGTTAGGAGGTTGTCACATAAATGCTATCATATTTGTGCTTTAGGGTCAGCCTTTAGCAAGTTGTGTTAAATATCTTTAGCTAGGAAGGAAGGAATCTTTATGCATGTTCCGTTCACCCACAATGTACATTCATAACTATAGCACATCTTTCTAGCGTAATAGGAAATGATGTGAACATGGGGAGAACGTGCAAATGCAGACAGAACATATATACATGAGGTTGTCTGAGAAGTGACTCTGCATACATGTTTTGACATACTGGGTTTATAGTGAAAGATATTGGCTATATTGGCTATACCATTTCCAAACAGGCCAGACACAGTGTTGCTGCTGGTAATATACAGTATTAGATGTAATTTTTCAGCATTTTTTTTCTCTTTAGCATTGGTATAAGCTCTGTGTAGACTTTATTTTATACTGCTTGAATATATACATTTGTGATTTAAAAAAAGCATATAACTCTGAATGCATAAACAGTTATTATACACATCATAGAACGCGATAAACAACCTGAAAAGCCCTGTCTGAAAGTCAGAGCTGTTAGATGTTAGTATAATGGCTCAATGCAACAGTCTCATATTACTGAAGAGGAGACAGAAATATCCTCTATGAGCTTTTTGCTTTTGTTGACATTGGGTTTTTATGCAGATTAATTTAAATGGGCTACCCGCGATGTTTTGGTTCATTCAAATATAACTGCGCCTTTGCTTATGCATTAGTAATGAATATCTAACTCTGCTATTTGTGTGATCTTTAAAAGCGTAAAGCATCAGAACCTATTTATTTAAACAATAAAACCGGTAGCACATACTGATAAGTTGAACAAACAAAAATACATATTGTCATTTTCACATTCTTTTCATTCCTGCTCATTTTGTCACCCTATTATTCGGTATAAGTTCTAAGACACTGTTTCATCTAGATGTTTTGTTTGACGAGCCAGCACGGAAGTAGATAAGGCAAAGCGGGGGGGAGTTTATTTGTATGGCGCGTTCATAATCAAAGTCAAAGTGCTTAACAAAACAAGAAAATAAACATGAACTCATTCACAGTGAAAGCATATAATACTCACAGTACTACAAACGAGTGTGGATACAATTAGGGATGTACCGATCCGATATTCAGTATCGGTATCGGGGGGCCTATATGGGTATTTTGTAAGGATCGGATATTATCGGATTTGTTAAATATCGGGGAGTTTACATTTACAGAGTTCACACATTGGGGAAGTACTGGCTTTTTGTGGTCATTCAGTTATGTACCAGCTTTTTTTGTTTTGTTATACTGAATGTTGAGGGCAGTTTTTTGATAAATGTTCCTCTTTGATATTTCTTTTATTTTAAGTTCATCTTAAAGGTGAAATTTTCAATACTCATGTGATTCTTACCTATGACCTAACTCAGTAGGTCTGTTAAGCAAAAGCCAAACAATATGTTTGATCATGTCATAATAAAAAAAAAACATTTTAACCCTAGAACACTATTGCCGGGTGATTTTCACCCGAGCAAAAAAAATTATGTGATTTTCATTATGCTGCGTTTGTCTGAGTGTCATGGGTCTCTGGGTAGCTTCAGCATTGTCTTTGACATCTTTGATGGCATGGGTGTTTTCCTAATCCAAAACACACTTTTTCCTACAGGCACATGCTTGGGTGATTTTCACCCAGCAATAGTGATAGAAGGTAGGGTAGGTTTTGGGTGAATTTTACCCAGGGTTAGTGTTAGTGTATAAAATCACACAATCTTGCCCCCTTTTGAGGTTGACAACATTCAGGACTGCCAGATTTACTTTGCCTACTTCAACTACAGCTTTGCTCCTTGGTGTCCTTGGCATCCAAGCAAGTGAGTAACACATAGCTAAAGGTTGATTTACCTTAGCAGTTGTTAGCTAACTAAAACGTTTTTTTTTTTTGCTTGAAGCTACATTACCTAGCTAGCATACTGTGCATTTTCTTTCAGACAAGTGCTACATTCTCAAACAAAATAGCCAGCAGATGAAGTTGAGGCAGTCCTACAGAAAGAAAAAATATGTCTAAAAGAAAACCAGTAAAGAAGTACTTGTCACAGAAGGAAGTACTGGAGATTCTGTTCAGGGAAAGCAGTGATGAAGATGTTGATAATGTGGAAGCAGAAGAGATGTATGACAGCGACAGTGACATTGACTACATTCCAAAACCGGGTGAGGATGATGAAAGTGATATTGATGGTTTTGAAACTAGCACTTCAAGTCATCAGACAAAAAAAAAAAAAAAACAATATCAGGATTCCGGTAGACCACACACCAGAAAAATTGTCCCAGGACCTGTTGCCTCCACGTCTACTGCCCATCCTACGTCCCGTGCCACACCTGATGCTTTTCCTGCCAGTCACGATGCTTCCCCTGCCACAAATACTACTGCCCCTTCTACACCTGATGCTGTTGCTGCCAGTCCTGATGCTTCTCCTGTCACATCTCCTGCTGTGAGGAGAGGATGCTCCAATGAGGATGATGGCATGGCCTATGTTGTGAGACTCGAAAATATCTCCTACACAAGTGCATCTGGTTTCCGGTGGAGTTCTCGGCCTCAGACATCGGCTACTACTAGGACAACTGCACGAAACATCATGCCTTCTTTCACACCAGGACCAACACCAGAAGCATCAAATGCTGACACTCCTGAGAAGTGCTTCTCATTATTTTTTGAGGACAAAATCATTGACCAAATTGTGACATGGACGAACATCCGTATTGATGCTGAAGCTGTAAAGTATCGGAAGAGAACAGGAACTTTTCAGAGAACAACACCAGCAGAGATGCGAGCATTGCTAGGGATTTGCATCTTCAGTGGTTGCCAAAAGGACAACCATCTGTCTACTAAAGAAATGTGGAACCCTGCGACTGGTGCACCTGTGTACCGTGCTGCTATGTCTGAGTGTCGCTTTTCGTTCCTCCTTACCTGTCTGCGCTTTGATGACCCTGACACACGACAGGAAAGACAGGCCATGGACAAATTTGCTCCCATTAGAGAAATATGGCAAATATTCATTGACAACTGTAAAAAGTTGTATGTGCCCAGTGAAAACATAACTGTAGATGAACAGCTGCTGGGATTTAGAGGGAGGTGTCCATTTAGAATGTACATCCCCAACAAGCCTGCCAAATATGGTATCAAGCTTGTCCTTGCCAATGATTCCCACAGCAAGTACCTGCTGGCAGGAATACCATACTTGGGGAAACTTGCAACACAACGACAGGATGGACAAAGTCTTGGCCAGTATTTCACCAAGGAGCTGACCAAGCAATATCACCATACCAACAGGAATGTGACCACTGATAACTGGTTCACCTCTGTGCCACTGATGATTGACCTGCTGGAGAACTGTGGCATGACCCTTGTGGGGACAGTAAAAGCAAACAAAAAGGAGATCCCCCATATGATGAGAGTCAAAGAAAATCGCACACCAGGCACCACTGCATTTCTCTTCACCAAAGAACTAACCTTGGTGTCCTTCCTCCCTGACAAAGCTTCCAAAAAGAAGGTTGTGCTGCTCATGTCATCCATGCACACACAACCAAGCATTGGACCCACTCACAAGCCAGAAGTGATTGAGTTTTACAACAAAACAAAGGGAGGTGTCGATACTTTCGACCAGATGTGTGCTCACTATAGCTGTGGAAGAAAGACCAAGAGATGGCCCCTGTGCGTGTTCTACGGCATGATAAACGCTGGTGTGATAAACTCATACATCATACACAAGGAGAATGCAATGAAGAGAGATGACACCTACCTGCAGAGAAGGCCTTATATGCAGGCTCTGGCACTGGCACTCATCAAACCATGGGCAGAGCAGAGGCTGCCCGCTTCAAATCTGTCACGTCAACTCAGAATCCTGATCTGTACCGTGCTCGACATCCCTTCCCCTGGTACTCTAGCCAGTGAGGAAGGACCAGTGGCAGCAGAAAGCAGTGGTGCCTTTGTAAGGTGTGCTGACTGCCCCTCAGGGTCGGACAGGAAGACACGACACAGGTGCCACGGTGCCGTCGACCAGTGTGTCCGCGCCATTACTACCCTGCATGTACCGATTGCATGTAAGGAATAAGGCAAGTAAGAGTGGTCCTGGAATTGCATGTTGTCTTTATTTAGTGCAGTGGTTATGAATAACTATCACAAAGTGGTGATTTCCAAGAGAATTCATATGATGATGAAGTTATTTTAGTCAGCTTGTCATTTTTACCTATTCAAAATATGACATATTTTGTTTCTCTCTCCTGCAGCTATTTGTGTGTCAAGGACACTGAGCCTTCACCAGGGAAGTCTCAAATATCTTAGGAATGAGTGGAACAAAAACCAAGTTTCCATGTTCTTTTTTTTATTTTTTAGGAATTTTTTGTTCCCAAATTCCTGATTTTCCACTCGTTTTTGAGCATTTTTATGTGGACCCCTCATGATGCTTTTCTTTGATTTTGTTGGACATATGACAGTTTAAAATAAAAGAACACTACTAAAATTTGTCATGTATTGTCATGTTTTGATATATTTTGATGACAAGTACTTTTTATTGGGTGTATTATCTCGGGTAAAAATCACCCGGCGTTAGTGATGGTGTTTGGAATTTGAGCGATAGTGTTCTAGGGTTAAAGTAATACTGGTTGCAAAATTTGTAATGCTTTGAAAATATTAGAAAAAATTGGATCGGTATCAGATTGGTATCGGCAAAACAATATTTAAGAATATCGGAATCGGATCGGATTACAAAAAATCTGGATCGGTACATCTCTAGATACAATCCATCAGTACAGCATAACCATAACTATTTTACCTGGGTTACAATTTTCTCAGAGTAGAAGCTTGTCTCACATTTTCAAGAAGACTTTTCCCCCGATTTTAGCTGCATGAATCTGAATGAAACCCGTGTTGTTTTGCAGTGGAGGGCCAGTGGATGGAGTGGGGCCCCTGGTCGCGGTGCAGTGTGACGTGTAACATGGGGACACAGCAAAGGCAGAGGAGGTGCAGTGCGTCCGTACACGGCTGGGCGGAGTGCAAAGGCGCCCACCAGGAGAGCCGAGACTGCACCAACCCGGCCTGCAGCGGCAAGTCTCAGTAACAGTACACTGCTGTATTCAACATGGCACTAGTCTGGATTGAGGCCTGAGTTGGCTGAAGGATCATTACAAAAGGCACTCTGGAGATGGAGAGTAGAAATACTTCAATATGACTTCAATATTTGGCTGATATTTGGCTTATAACTACATATGTTCACTGCTTGTCATGTAATAATAATAATGAATCGGGTTTGTCTAGCGCTTAATTGTTTTTTTTATTGGCCACGCAAAGACTCTTCAAACGGTGGTTGTGATCAACTACTACTATAGCCACGGCTGCCTCAGGGCGCTATGACAGAAGCAAGGCCACCCTCTGACCACGTCCAACCAACCACACACACACCAGACTCATACTTGGCGATGCGGGTAAAGTGTCTTGCCCAAGGACAGTTTGGAAGCTTACAGCCGTCGCCGCCCACTGTGGTCCCAGAGGTCTCCCATCCTAGTACTGACTAAACCCTGCCCTGCTCATGTTTACGTTTGTTAACATCGTTTTTTTTTTTTTCATTGCAAAAAGCTATGTTTTTAGATGTAGGATAAACTGAGGTTATTATAATATTATTAAAGTAAATTCTGTAATTACTTGAAAATAACAATAGATTACATCAACTTCTTACATGTAAAGTGACGTATATCAAGCCTTTGTTATGATATTCATGATTGTGGCTTTTAGTCCATCTCCAACAGAGATGTTTAATTTTGGGTTTTTCAAAAGCCTCAGGACAAAATTATCAACTGAAATGAAAATAGACTTTTGAACGATATTCTGATTTTCCGAGTTTCACCTAATTCAGCTATAGGCTTTAGTCAAGATGTGCTTTACCCATGAAAATACATATCCTAAATACTGTTACTAATATTTGGCATCATGTATGTTAAGGTAGTTTAGTTGTAGTTTCAATGCTTGTTTTCGTATAAGAATTATAACATAACATGTTTCTAACTTTTCTTTTTACTTCTGTCTGATCCAAGCTGACCCTACCTCATACATGCATGCACACAATACTAAAAGAACCCAAGAACTCATTTTGAGCCGGATTATTGTTTTGTGGCTTGAAAGTTAGGTACCCCTCAGTTTGGGTGTGTATTGCTGAATAAATCAATATTATCTGATTATAATTGTGGAATTGAAATCACAAGTATCCAGTGTCATGTCTATATTCTATTCTAATTCCAAGATTGGAGTGCATGCTATAAGACAACACTCTTCGATATAAAGCTTGTAAATATCACTGATAAAAGACTCAAAACAAGTTACCTGAGGTTTACAAGTAACCATAAAATATTTACAGTAGAGAATAAGATCCAGTCTCAAATGCCGTACTGTAAAAATCAAGCCCTTTTTTATTCCCTCCTGTTTTTTTCACTTCAATATTTGGACAGTATAGTATTCTTTATATATTGATTTTTAGATCCAGATCCACAATCTCTTTGGTATTGTTCTGTGCAGGTGGGAACTGGAGCATGTGGAACCACTGGAGTTTATGCAGTAAGACTTGTGACTCGGGCTGGCAGCGTCGCTTCAGGACCTGTGGGAGCAACGCGGGAGAGAGTACGCCGTGCGAGGGATCGGCCGAGGAGGTGCGCTCCTGTAACGACAACAAGTGCCCTGGTAAGAAACTATGTCATCTATTATCTCATCTAACTGCAGTTGGTTTAGTCATTCGGTCTCTTGTCCAATTTGCGAAAGTTCCTGAATATTGTTTAGATAGCTTTCCATAGCTTTTAGAGTTATCTTGCTAACTGATGCTATGGCTGCTCAGAGGAGTAACCGTAGCAACAGGCACCTATCACTGCACTGCCGAACGGAACATTTTAAGAGATCCTTTGTTCCTTCGGCTGTCAGACTGTACAACAGACCTGGTTGAGCCTTGTGCTGCTGGACACCTGAATTTCCGCTATAGGGGATCAATAAAGAGGGGGCCACAGTGGCTCAGTTGGGAGATCCTTGGTCTCTGAACCTAATGGTCATGGGTTCGATCCCACCATGACCCATGTCATCTGCTCCCACTGAAATCTGCTGTTGTTGTGTCCCTGGCCAGACACTTGACCCCACATTGCCCGACTAAACCCCACTGAAACACCAAGGCTGTACAGTATTTTCGTCGAAGCAGCAGCCATCTTCCCACCGACCCACCACCTGCAGGAGGAACAGCAGGGGGCCGATGCTATGTGATTTGGGTGGCAGCTGTGAATGCTCTGGAAGTATCTATCTATCAATCTTCAAAAACAAACAGAAAGCAAAGAAACCTTGGTGAAAAAATAACCCTCTGGTGAAAATAATTCGAAGTAACTTAAGTTTTCTCAAACTTACCTTTAGTATCTCTAAAATGTTAAGTTGTAGTCTGTACAACGTAGCCAAACTATGGAATTCTAAGCGGTGGACATACTGTAGCTGGTTTAGCCGGCTGTGTGAAGCCAAATAGTAAGAGTCCGTGGGCGGAATTTGATGGTAGAAAGAGCTGGTTGCATATCAAATAAGTTGGAACAAAAATGTGTTTTTTTGTAGTCCCTGTTGTTGTCAGACCCACCATTCTAGGCTCTATATGTTTGAGTTGAGTACTTTTCCTTTCTATATGCTCCATGGTGTTTTTCATCTGACACATTTCTCTAAATAAATATATCATAATTTGATTGGGAGTTTGGTTAGGAACATCAGCCAAAATGAGCCTCATCCACAGAAAGTGAACGCTACTGTCTTTGGGCCAAACGTACTGTAAGCACACATCGAAATTATACATTGGATTTAAGTCCGACCTAAATCCGTAATAAACATAACACTTGTTTCCTGTTCTACGCATTTAATTTTGTCAAGGTATTTACATGTATAATCGTTTTGAGTATTTCTCCTGCAGTACATTTTGTCTCTGCTAAACGCCACTCATCACTGAAGTGTAGACCGTGACTCTGACAAGCTTTAACTTTTGAGTGCGCCTCTTTCCTGACCCCTTTGTTTAAAGTGGCTGTGCAGCTACATCCCTTTCTCTTTTTTATTTTTACATTTTTACATAACACAAGGATCTCGTCTGTTGCCACCGTGGGACGAACGCCATGCAAAGCTTTCATCCATTTTCTCGGGTCCTCTTCATGTGCACTGCATCGCCTTTGCCAACTCTTGTCTGGCCCCTTCGGAATATCTTCTGAACACTCTGGCATTTTTTCATTAGGGTTATGAAAGGAGGGAGGTTATGGGGTGGGGGGAATTGCATTGGGGCAAGATGAAGAGGGAATGAGATACTTCGCCAAGACACTGACACTGACAGAGAGCACTGAGCAATGTACAGGGGAATAAGATTGGGAGTTGTAGGAGAACGCTGATTTGAATCTTGTTTTTTGTGCTTTTCCCTTTTTGTGGCACATGGGGTTGTGTGTGTGTGTGTGTGTGTGCGTATATGTGTGTGAGAGATACTAGTAGAGGGATTTTGCAAGTTCCCTGCCACAGCACATTTCAATTCACCTTTGGTAATGTAGTTTGGGTTTTTTTCCCGCTCTTTCCTGCAGCGCCGCATGAGATCTGTAAAGAAGAACACCTACTCACCATGACGTGGAAGAGAGCCTCGGCTGGAGAGACAGTCTACAACAAGTGTCCAACCAATGCTACCGGTCAGTCATGTTGAAATTCGATTAGTATAGTGATACAAAGTGGCCCTCGAAACTATCCACGTATAAAGCCATCCTAAGATACAAAGCCTTGGTATCACTCGCTCCTTCGCGCATGTGAGGCAAGGCAAGGCAGGTTCTTTTGTATAGCTTCATACTCAAGGCAACTCAAAGTGCTTAACAGACTTGAAAATAAACCTGTAAGAAATTAAGGGTACATTAAGAGCTAAACAGAACCGTTTTTGTGTCACGGGTCACTTTAAAGTCTATTCTCTGAATCACAGGAGCCAATGCACGGACCCTGAGAACTGGACTAATGTGAATGTACTTCCTGGTTATAGTCAGGACTCCAGCTGCAGTGTTTTGAATATACTGCAGTTGTTTTACATCTCGTTTGGAAAGCCCAGAGAGCAGCTTGTTATGATGGTCTAACATACTGGAGACAAAAGCATGCGTGGATACAAATCTCCAAATCTGCTCTAGGTGTTATGTTAAGGTGTAAGTATGAGTCTATTAATACACTTAGATTAAGGGAGAGGCGCTGAAGGTGATGGATAACGCTTTCTTTGTCTCCGCGGGCCAAAACACAGATTTTAAAAATATAAAAGACTGTAAAAAGTAGTTATATAGGGTTTAAAGTCTATAGCAAATGAATATAGTCAGTCTAATGCTAATTTTATTTTTGACTTTTTGAAAACGTTTCCATGCATTTTTACATTCAGCTGAATACTATATATTTTTTTGTCTTATAAACAAACACAAGGAAAGTAAAATTATGCTGAATTGGTGCTTTGTGCTTGAGTTGTATAATTGCAGCACATTTGAGTCTTCTAGAGGCCCCGCATTATAAGCTAACAACTCATGCATTATCCAGCATTAATACTTAATTAGTACAGCAGATGTGTCCTGCAAGTACAAAGTCAGTCCAGATCTTTGCTTGGGCAGCTCGTGCAGTCGGTGCCGCAAGACAGACGTTTTTAAATTCCAAAAGCAGAGAAGAACAAACCTTGTGCCTTGTTCTTTTTGATCCCCAGCAAAGAACAGCTGTCTAACTCTGCCTGTAAGAGAAATAGCTCACGTCTACATCTGTCTGTAGCATTCAATGTTATAAGATATGTCTGTGATTTTCCAAAAATGCATTTTGCAAATCCTTGGTTGTATTATTATAACCATGTGCATAAGCCCCTGCAACCTGCCCCCTGCATGGTCCTAAGACTCCCCTGAAAAAGAGCTTCTGAAATCTCAGTGGGACATCATTGGTAAAAAAAAAATAATCCTATTGTTTAGGTTGAAGCAAAGACAGGGATCAAAGTGAAGACTTTTCTGACTTTTTCTCAGCTCTACTCTCTGTCACTCACAGGCTGCTCTGGTCACCGTCACTGTGAACCCAGTTAGTGAGAATAATAACAGGACACATGACGAGCAGAGAAGACACCTCTGTGAAGTCTGCTCATCACCGCACTCCTACACAAAACTGTTTTTATTTATGACCCCGTCCCGACCTGAATTGTGTGAGCGTACAGATACACACGCCACATGAGGACTCTGCTCTGCTTCTCTGCATGCGTAAAAGCGCCTCTTGCAATGTGTATTGTGGAGCACAAACTTTTGTTTATAAGTGAAGAGTGCTGCCCAGGGGGCAATGACACAGTGTCTCAAAGCAGCATCGAAGAGCAACTATGCACACAATCACATTTATCGATGGAGATGTGAGTTACACTGTGCCAATTCTCTAGACAGTTGTGCTCAATGCCTCCAGCCCTACGTTGCCCAACCATTCAAAGAAAGAATAATAAATATATAAATTATTATTATTACATTTGATAACAAGCTACACAATGCCGATTTACCAGCCTGTCAAATGCAGTGTGGAAACGTCAAGAATAGTACATATATGTTCTAGCCGCGCTTTATCCACTGCAAATCACTTCAAAGGCCAATCACAGATAACCAGACCAAAAGTGTATAGGCCTATACTTGTTGCCTATACAATGTTGAATCATTACCACCACAAAGAAATAATGCATTTTCTTGTTTGTTTGCAGGATCTGCTAGTCGTCGATGTATGCTGGACAATAATGGTGTTGCTTTCTGGGGTCCTCCGAGCTTCGCTAGATGCATCTCTCTTGAATTTAGATATTTACATATTTCTGTAAGTAAAAGAAGCCATCAACACAAAAGCATTACTGTGTATTCACTATGTGTATTGTACAATACAACGTGTACTGCACAAACTTTGTTATTTCATCCGTGTTTCCTCAAATCCATCCTCTGGTATCTTTAATTAGCTTTCTCACACTTATCAATTAATGACTCTTGCTAACAATGTCTTCATCAGCCAGCCTGTTTCTTCTGTCCATGAACTTCCACCTCGTCCATTTCCTCACAGATGATGGGGAAGATGGGGATTGTGTGTCGTGGAGCAGATTGCACTGTTAGCTTCTGTTTCAACCTTTCATTAACACTCGGTCAATAATTAATTTTCTGTGATTGCCGTTATCTTGCGCTGTCCCAGTCTTGTGCTTCCTTCAAGTTGTGCCTTCCTATGCTTTATATTCCAAACTCAGCCCAGCTTCCTCCTTTCTCTGGGTTATTGAGCTCCAGCTTTTAGTTCAGAAAGTGACACTTTGACTGTGGAGGAGACAATACACTGTATGTTGTGATATTGTTTTCAGATTTGAGGCATTTTGAGGATTCTATGCTTCTTTAGTTGAAATAGATATGAATTTATTGAAATCCACTTTTTATACAACAGTCACAGAACACTGTCCACACACACAATGTTGCTCACTGACCCCGGTGATCATTTTCAAAGATGTGGTTGTTTCACTTCTGAAAATAAAATCACTGGCACAGTACCAAGCAATTACAGGCAGTCGATTGTTGCAAGTGTAGTGCAGACAGAGTCAGTGTGTAGTGTTTTATACCTTTTTATCCCACTAATTGAACCTTTTTTGTGCATTACAAATTTAATTGTTTTAAGACATTGTAAACCTAACAAAATTTGAACTGCAAACATCACTTTGAATCAGTTGCATCAGTATTAGGCATATATATTTTGATATTTGAAATTTGCACTTTGTATTATTGCAACCGTGTATAATAGTGATGTTATTGATTCTGCATGATGATGCTCGATCACTGATGTAGAAAGACACTGGCCTAATCCTAACACGTGTCCTCTCTTTGCTGCAGTTACGAGAGCATCTCGCGAAGGGTCAGAGGACCCTGGCTGGGGAGGGCATGTCTCAGATCGTACGGAGTCTCCTGGAGCTTTTGCAGAGAAGGAGCTACTACAGTGGCGACCTTCTCTTTTCCACGGAGATTCTACGAAATGTGACGGACACCTTCAAAAGAGCAACCTACATCCCAGCTCCCGACGACGTGCAGGTACCTGGGATTTGAAGGATGAGAGAGGATTTTATATACTTTTAAAGATACTCAATGTCTATTCTTTTTTTACAGAAATATTTCCTCATAGTCAGTCATATGTTGGACATGGATAATTTAGAGAAATGGGAGGACGCACACCAGGTACATGTGTGTTTTCCAAATACACTTGTGTGGTATAAAACTCAACAACACCGCACTAACATAGCATCCATTTACTGAAAGTTCAGTTCAGCCAACACCCTGATGTTTAGAGATAGTTCACGCTACCCTCTGGCCAAGATCACAGAAAACATTGTTGCGTAATTTGTAGATGTAGTTACAGTACCTGCTATTAAGCCAATGTCTTACTCCAACTGCAGAGGCAGCCCATTTTTTTAAGATAGCAGTGTTTATGAATTAGGCTATTTCAGTCCAATGCCCTTGGTTTGGACTGCACACTATCTGAAAACACAAGCATATGTATTATTTGTGCAATTTACTGCTCTAAAACACATTTCATGCCAGAGGGAGTATTCCAGCAATGTTAGCTTACAGTGATTGCGGTGCTTTGTATGTATGTGTAATGACAGGCTTCTTCGTCCCATTTCCATCCATCCACAGGTCGCTCCCGGGGCAGCGCTGCTCATGAGGATATTAGAAGATTTCATTCACCTCATTGGAGAAGCCCAGAAGCCATTTCAAAGTTTTCTCGTGGTGACCAACAATCTCAGTAAGGCAATATGAATACATCAGAACTGGTGTACGATGTGACAATGCATCAGAGACTGTATATTAGAAGTGCTGCCGTCACCCATAGTGGTTGCTTTTTAGCAGAAGGGGCCGATTAGAGTTAGCCCGAACGTGAATGTGGAGCCAAATGTCTCAAATTTAAGAGAACAAAACAATATGAATGCGCACACAGCAGAAGGTAAATGAACACAGCTCTATTCTAACCTCTCTACTAAATAAATAAAATCTCTAGCTTTAGCATAATGAGGAAGAAGTCTATAATCTATAAAAAGAAGCAAGAATTTAGTACAAAATCCTACACTTTAGCATAACAAAGATTCATAAAGTATAAATCCTGTCTACTCAAGTGCAGAAATATAAAACTGTATGTATACATCTGTACATGTTAGCAGCATGAAGGTCTGGGACACATGCAGTGACAGTGGACACGTGGTTCTATGTTGCACATTAGTGGTATTAGGCTGGTAAAAGTAAGGCTGAGTTACCAGGCGACAATCTGGAGCTGTACCGAATTTGGAAACAGAAGGCTCCTGATTTGTCAGGGTTCATATCTGTATTTACAACGGCAATATCACAATATAAACACCAGGCGCGGCTAAACAGACGATTTTCTAAAGCCCAGAACAGGGGAGTGTGACACAAAACTGTTACTGAGCTGAGTTTACTCTTCAATGTAAGTCAACAGGAGCCAGAGTGAGTTGGAGACAAACTTTATCCAAAAGCACTTTACTATTCGGCTTCACTGAGCTAGAGGGTTGGCATTTCCCATTCATATACAGTCTATGGTCTGCACGTACCATGGAGATAAGTATCATGTGCTTTTTATCAAATACAATACAGACTTTGAACAGTGCAGCAACAAAGAGAATTCTTTAACTGTCCGCAGTGATACAGTATTCTCTGTTATTGTTTCATACTGCAGTCAATTTCAGGCATTTGCTCTGTGTCTTGTTCTGCCAGTGATAACCATTCAGAGAGAGCCAGTGTCAGCAGTTTCCAGCGATATTAACTTCCCCATGAAGGGCCGCAGAGGGATGAAAGACTGGGCCAGAACTGCGGAGGACAAGCTTTATATCCCCAAGGAAGTCTTCACCATCCCCACAGAAGGCAAGTGCACGAGCAAATAAACTCTCATCAAAATTGATTGGGAGTTGGCAGGGGTTTAAGGCTTCTTACCGTAATCTAAACGTTTGGGTTGTGTTCCGCGCTCTTTGAGAAACTCGCCCTCCTCTGTGGGATCAAACATTTACATATGTGCATGAGGTGAAGGGGAGTCTGAAGGACACTGAAGGGTATCATTGACTGTCGGATACTCTCAGGACGGACTTCCAGACATGGTTCAATCATCTGTGAGGCATGTTCTATATTTTCATAACTTGGAGGTTGTGTGTTGTCCAGGTCATTGTATAATATGCATACTGTTAGGGTGAGAGGGTTGGAAAGCACTTATTGTAAAGCAATTTGGCGAGAATGACCCTTGGTTTTTATTTGATTTGTTAAAATTCTTGGAAAATTCCTCCCTTTTTTTATCTTATTAGTTTCAATGAATAAGGATAATACATATTGTCAACATTACTGTAAATGTGCCAGTATTAGCTAAAGTCCAGTAATCAAACTAAAGTCCCTGTAAGCAAGGTGTAAAATTCCAGCAAAAAAACAAAATAACATAACATCACATAGTAAGTAGGTAAGTAATCTTTATTTATGTACTGCCTTTCACAGACCAGAGCCACAAAGCGGTTTACAATTGTTATTTTTTGGGCATTTGTCTCCCACTCCACACAGAGATGGAAGCGGGGTCGCCAGTACAGGAGGCGCATGCCAGACCTATTGTGCATGTTTTTAGTGGTAGGGGAAACCGGAGCACCCGGAGGAAACCCACATAGACACGGGGAGAACATGCAAACTCCACTCCGAAAGAAGCGAGACTGCTATCCATTCAGCCACCGTGCCGCCGTGCATATAACATTTACATAATGTTCAGTACAGTTAGTTCAAATATTACATTCAAAAATATAACAACTTAAAAGTAATAGGATGTCAGTTCAATGGCAGCAGCCCCACATTTACACATGGTTACAGGCTTGATTGTCGAATAACCAAGTTACTAGGTTCTTAAAAGCCATGGTAAGTAAATTGATATTGTGTTCCAAAGCTGGACGGTGATGGCTGATTGGATGAAGGCACTTTCTTGGGGCCACTAGATTTGAGGCAGCAGATCTAGTGTTCCTGTTCTGGCCCTGATCTGCTGCTAAAAAGAAAATGGACAGTGGTAGTGATGCCAGGCCATCTAAGACCAGGTTAGCATTCTGTAATCTCACTAAGTTCTCCCACCCTAGTAGCTTATATCTGGCCAAGATGCTGCAGGGGTGGTGAAGAGATTTCATATCCAGGACATTTAACGGCTGTTTGTAGACAGACTAGATGGACTTTAAGGTTGTTCTGCGACCCTGTGACCTGCTGGGGCAGTATGTTAGGTGTGTCATTTTCATTTAATTAAAATATACTAAGGCAGCTTCCTTGTTTAAGTTATTTCATATACATTTAAAATATATAAATGCTAATACTCCAAGGCTGTGGCACCACTGATGTAGCAGCCATCTTCCTGTGGACTCACCACCTGCAGAGGAACTGTGAGTGACATGCTGGTAATCTTTTAATGCTTTAATCTTGCTTGACGTATGTTTATCAGATAACAAAGACAATACATACATATAAGTAGATATATTTGTTTGCATTGCGGAACCACATTTGGCAATACACAGTTTGAACGTGTTTGGTGCACGAGGGAATGTGTGTGTGATGATACTAATTTCAAAAGCCTTTCAAATAGTATCGCTGTGTTGAGCTTTTGTTTATCTAAGCCTTGAGTTATGCCTCCCGAGTAGTTGTCTTTTCATAATGGGGGTATAGCAGTTTCAATAGGTTAAATGGAGCATTTAACGTTGCTGCTGATTATAGTAATTAGATCTTGACAATAGTAGGTCCCTAATGCTTCCCCTCCAATTTGTTTATTCATTTTCCATTGTCTTGTCAAATGTGGTTGGAGCATCATTGGGTTTCATTTGGTGTTGTTTACCATTACAAAAGTCTAAAATGTGTAATTAAAAAGAAAAGAAAAAAAGCGTGGTTCAAAAGCGACATCGGCCATTATTACAAAGGAAAAACAAAATGTATTGCTTTTCAAAAAGAGGGAGAGAGTTGTTTATATCTGACAAAACAATTACCGTGGCAGATGTGATCCACTAGTTGCAAAAGCAAAGGTCGCATCTCCCAGGAAATTACACTGGGCAACTTCCTGTCGGACAAATCTGCTGAGGGCGAAAGGAAAGTTCAGATCAGCAGCGAGTGAGGGGATCAAAGCCTGCGCAACCTATGGCCTTTGCTGATGATGGCCGCTTGGTTTTGATTGGTACATTGTATTCAGACCCTACTTCACCTCAGCCCCCTATAGCCTCGCCATTTTAATCAACATTAAAAGTGGATATTTATGCCGGGCTGTAGATGGCATTTAATTGCGGGATTTTTTACGACTTGTTTTGCACGGCCTTCGGGTGTATTCTGGATTTACTGCACGCGGCTAATGGGTTTTATTTCAAGATGAGAAACGCAAACACGCACAATAGCGACGAGATTAGATAAGATGTAAGATCGGACATAACTATTTTCTCATGTTCAGCTTCTGCGTGTACTCTTTTTGTGATACATAATTAAATAGCTTCGTGCAACTTTACTCTTGCGAGTTTCTGGAATGAGCTCAACAATATTATTCACCAGCTTTTTCTGGCATATAATTTTGGAAGGCATTCATAGCAGAACAGAAAAAGGAGGAAACTTCATGTGCCTTATCCATCTTGAGCTATTTGGATGTGTCATAGATGTGGAATGTGATTTTTTGATAAAACACATTCACTAGTTCAACATATTAGGCAACCATCTTATTCTCCTAATGATATGACCATAAATCATATATTCACTCTTAGGAATCACATAATGACTAAAAACTGTGATTATTCAGGTCACAGTACAATCATAGAAACTGAAAAATATTAATGGTGATGATTATAAAAGTAAAAACCACACATTTGTCCTTTGTCCTGTTGTGGTCAGAGATATTTGTGTATCCTGTTTCCTGAAAGAACCAGTGTAATATTAGTCGCATTTGATTCTCATTCAACGACACGTATTTATTCCTAAACTTATTTCAAGTATGTTTGTTCCATTTTTACGAATCCATTTTTGTAAGAAGAATTGTAACATATTAGATATTTTTTTATGTTGACACTGTATATTGTATTATGTATCTTATTATTATTATAGTGCAAGTAGTATTAGTTTTGTTAAGGTTTTATGACACATTAATCATGAATCTTTGCTTTTGAAATCGGACACTCTAATACTGTGTGTAGAGCTTGATATCATCTTTAGTCTTTATTTTGAACAGGCTCTAGGATTCTCACATTGACATGCCCTGAGCTGAGGTCTCCAGTTGATTGGTATCAGTTCTCTGGTTCATTTAGCCTGTAATGAAAGCCTGTCTTGGTCGGAGAGCTTAAACATTCTCATAAGGACTCTTTTGTGAGTGCACACTAGCAGTCCACATGCACGCAGCCACGTAATGGATTCAAGAGTTGCTCCACTGGCCACAGCCTGCCTCTGCTCTAGCCTTATTTTGGATTGAACAAACTTTTTCACAGCGTACTTTCTCTCTCTTGAATTATTCCAGGGAATATTTTGTCTCAGTTTAGTCTGAATGTCAATGTATAGTCACATCAAAGAGAAATTATGTATATTTTGGGAGTTTCCCACTAAGAATGAACCAGCTATTAGCTCTAGAATAACGTTGACTAACCTCTAACACTATGGCTCTCATCAACAGATCAGAAGATTCAAACAGTTAACCCTAACCCTAATCTTCATTTATATACTGCCTTTCACAGACCAGAGTCACAAAGCGGTTTACAATTGTTATTTTTTGGGCAATTGTCCTCTCACTCCACACAGAGATGGGAGCCAGTACAGGAGGCGCATGCCAGACCTATTGTACATGTTTTTTGTGGTAGGAGAAACCAGAGTACCCGGAGGAAACCGGAGTACCCGGAGGAAACCGGAGTACCCGGAGGAAACCGGAGTACCCGGAAGAAACCGGAGTACCCGGAAGAAACCGGAGTACCCGGAAGAAACCGGAGTACCCGGAAGAAACCGGAGTACCCGGAAGAAACCGGAGTACCCGGAGGAAACCTACGCAGACACGGGGAGAACATGCAAACACCACTCAGAAAAGCCCTGGTCTGACCGGGATTCGAATCCAGGACCTTCTTGCTGAGAGGCGAGAGTGCTATCAGGACTGAGGCTGTCGAGCTACGACTGAGGCTGTCAGACCAATACAATTATGCAACAAATTCTAGGTTTTGCTGATAAATGATTATATTTTTTACCTATTGCACCTAGAGTTGATGTATGTGTTAGTGCAAAAAGTGATATTGGATTTTTGCGATGCTTCAAATGTCAATATAAATATCTGACATACTGTATAACCCATCTTCATATAAGGTGATTCCCATAAAGAACGCTGTTTGTTCCATTTTGGCCTGCCATGATTTTGATCTCCCTGTTAGGTAAAGGTAGGTTTTCTTCACCGCAGCTCCGAGCGCTTATTCAAAGTGACAAGTTGCGTGAGGTGTCACTGAGTTGACAGGGTTTTTGTGAGCTTCCTGATAGATCTGTGTCACCTGTGCCTGTTGTTTCAAAAGTGTTTGTTATGAAGTTTGTTGTTGCCCCAAATGATAGCATTACTCTTCTTCTGGAGTACATAATTAAATGAACGCGCTTTAATAAAAATGTGCCTCCAACACAAATACCCTGCACATTGATATTACAAATGGTGCATTTTACAGAGCCTCCAAAGGTATTTTTAATTAAAGAGTTGGGATGAAAAGCTATTTGGGAAATTATAATATTAAAACGTATTCTGCTTTACCCTGCTGTTTGATTTTTATGCTAAGATCAGCTAATAATATTCTGGCTCTCGATCTCACACTAAATCAGCCACGCACTGAGACTTTCTTATCTCATTAAAGAAGTGGTTAGATCTATTTTAACTATAAATGAATTGAAAGTGAGGTGATAAGTGTAGCGTAAATCATTCCAAATATAAAAGTGCAATTTGTTACCTTGTTAATATTGAATTAGGAAAGTATCTGCAATGTTCACCCCAAAGTATGCCAAAAAAGCAGAATGGAAACTTTCTATCCAGCAACTTGGCTTTCCACAATGTATCTAAACGTGTGTGTACTTACTTCAATTGGTGCATGTGCATTTCAATATTTGTTGTTTGTGTATGTATTTACAGATGCACAAATCAAAGCAGGGCAGGTCTGTTGCTAGTTATTTAGGACTTAAGGCTAATTTTGTCCTGTATGGAGCTCCTGCTTTCATCACATGAGAGCATGAAATTAAATCCGGACACACAAATCCTGACTCAGACGCTTCTTATTACAGACAAATCAAAATGCAGATCCACTCATCTTTTTGGGACAATCGCTCCATAAACATTTCCCTACACTTTTTCTTACTGTTATAGATTTTTAGTTGTCCTCTATCTCTAATGTTTCAGGCCTACACCTGTCTGTTTCACACAAATTAATTACAATAAAACCCATAAATTTGGCATTTAAGAGTTCATTTTATAAAACAAATTTCTCCTTTTTGAAAAAAAAATATTATAAAGTTGTATCCATACTTTATTCAAGATGGTTTGTTATCAGCCGTGCATATGAAATTTGCTTAATATTTTTGTATTTGTATGGCACTAAAATCCAAAATATTAGATCTGAATTTTCAAAAACTACCTGCTAAATGTTAAGTCTTTCAAATATATGTCTAATGGCCCTCTGATTTTGACAAATTCAGACAAATCTTTAGGGCCAAGGCACCTTTTTGACTTTCAAACGTCTGTAAATATATAGTAGTGAGCGGAGAAGTGCAGTGTCAAGACCCAAAGTAACTTATGTAGAAGTCCTGCCTCCCCATCTCAGATTAAAACTATCAATTACATGCCAGGATCAGCCGGGAGCATATATTTTGCTGAGAAACGGCGCATTAACGTGTGCGTTGGCTGACAGATGCATTGCCATTTCGCCGGGTTACAGCTGACCACCAATCATGGCAATGTGGAAGAAGGCTCGCAGAGAAGTTGTGTGGGTGATGAAAGTTTAGTGATGGAGCGCTTTTGTGATATTAATCAAATGCAGAATCGCAATATATGTCTTCTCCCGAACTGATTCTGACCCACACGCACTTCTCATTTGAATACTTCTGCACAAACTCTGTCCAATTAGGATCCATCAGTCTTCCCGGCTCTTCACTGCCGACTTTGATCTGTTTTTTGCTGCTTCTCAAACTCACAATAGCGGATTCTTTTTTGTCTTTTTCTCATCAGTCGTGCAACGCCATCTCTCGTTCCTTCCATCTTTGAGTGTGCGCACTTAGGGGCAGCAGGCAGACGGATTTTGAATGAGTCACCCTGTATGTCTGATAGCATCTCTTCTTCACCACCCCCATTTTGAACCAACGCTGCTACATCACTCCTCCAGGCTGAAAGGGCAAAAGAGGGAGTGCCGTCTCCTGCCATGAACTCAGCCGCTCTCAAGCCCGCCTCCAAGAACTTGAGACAAAGTGACATTTACACTGGGACTGTATATGTCTCAACGGGAGCCCCTTATTCGTGCAGAACCAGAGCAAAAAGAATGGGAACGGGTGTCTGAAAAAGAGTTGTTGAAAAGGATGTAGAAGTTGTTAGAGAACTCGAGCAGAAAACAGACAATCGTGACAAAAGGCGTTCTAAGTAGAGACACACAGGGATTTCAGACAAAGCATGAAGAAAATGGGACAAGACAATAGCAGCCGCTGCCATGGACTTCATTAAAGAGGCTTTAAAGGCCCTACTGGAGCATTACATCGGCGTGCACAATACTGGGAAGCTATGTAAAATATTAGCTTTTAAGGACTCATGGTACGCAAGCTCATCTTTTTTGACAAACGTTGCACACACTTGGAGTTCTTTTTAGCTACATCTATGTCAGTATCATCAATAACAGGGTTTTCAAGAAGAAATAAATCATCACGCACAAACACCATTCGTCGTGACTGTTTAAATGTTCTGATCTTAAACTTACTCCTTAGACTATGACCTTATTTCTGATGTTTAAGAGAGATGGATATATAAATAGATAGACCTTTATTGTCTCCTGATGGAAATTAATTTAAACAGACATTAGGGAAGGACATACAACAATCCAATACACAACCATAAAGGGATATACAAGATTACAGACTGTTAAGAGCAGCTTTGGCTGAAGTTTTTTGCAGAATGGTGCTGCTAATGTCTGTGCGTGACAGCTTTTTGGTCGGGTTGAAGGGGTTTGTGGTAGTTTGACAATTTTGGATGCTGTGTATGTGACTTTGGTGAGTTTCTTTCTGCTGGTGATGGAGAGCTTTTTGAAGTAACAGGGTAAGCAGTGCAGGACGATGGGTTGGATGATTAACATAGTTTCAGTAGGTGATTTGGGGCCTATACAGGTCTATCATCCAGCCGTTCCGACCCTTGAACAAAAGTATTGCCTCCACATTAGCTTTGGGTATTTATCGAGTCAGCTACTTTGTTCAAAACGGCATGTCTTCAGAAAAAAAGTCTACTCGAGATATGTGTTTCAGCCAATGTGCTTATTTATCATATTTAACATATTCTTACAAAAACGATTCAGGGCAAATAACTTATATGGCTTATTCGGCTTATTTGTTTGTTGCCTTGAATTGCTCTGTGAAGTTTGGTTATTCACCTTGGGAGGTAATTATTACATGCATAGGATTAACTATGTTCTACCTGACATTTTTACAGTCATTTCTGAAATCAGATAAGGATAAAACCGGAGCAGTACCTTGCCCAAGGATTGAATGGTATGGTATTAAAGACTGATGATCTTGAAGTGAATGTCAGTTACTTTTCAAATTGTGAGAAGAGAGATAAACTCTTCTAAAACCAGCCCCGGTTGGACTTGCCCTTGCTCAATTCCGCAATTACTGAATAATTCAAATTCTTGAGGCCCCTTGTCATTGGTATTCTCCTCCAGAAAATCTTGCTGGTCGAAGGCACATATATCATTGTTGAAAACGACTTACTTATAATGCACATAATAGGAAAACTACTATTATGTCAGAAATAAACATTATTTAAAAAAAGAAAAGTTACTCAAATCATCTTGAATCCCGCCTCATTACTACGTCTGGATCCAAATGTTGCCATATTGTCAAGCATTATAAGGAGACACTGAAAGATGGTAAGAGGCCTCCAAATAGTGTAAGAAAGGAGTGAGGAGAAAGAGTTTCGATGCTCCTGACCTCAGGAGGTGCCTCACCGCAGAAAGGAGCTATGAGGCATCCCACAGTGCACTGTGCGTTCCCCCACTGAACATGTTTTATTCTCCTTTTATTCACGACCCACAGTCTCAGCTTGATGAGACTGAACGCCTCTGGCTAGAACATTATGAGCATAAACAAAAAAACTTTAAATAACTGTTGAAATAAGAGCTTTGATGTAGAACACACACCAGATGTAGGCAGTTTGCAGAACATATGATATAATATACAGAGGAAAGAGCAATTGTTTTTGTTTAGATGTGAAAACTTCTGAAGCAAGTGGGTAATTTGCATAATTTGCATAGATTCTACTTAGCCGTTTTGTTCACGCTATGCTGTTATGAGTAGTCAGTAGGGTCAGATTGTCCAAACACAGCTGAAGAGACAATTAATTTCAATGGGCAATCCATAATAGATAAATAAAGTTTCAAACTACTACTACTAAATGTCCGTCTAACATTCTTATAGTTTACCCAATCACGTAGCTCCAAAGCTAACTCTACCGCTAGAGTCTATAATCTTTCCTATCAGGATCCACCGTTTGTGCCACTCCCTCATGGTTTTCATTCTCTCCCTGTAGAACCTGGCTAAAATAAAGTTGGAATATGTATCTATATCTATCTATTTAAAGCTGCTTCTTTTGTGCTTATAGAGACGGAGAGTGACTCAGAATCTCCAATGTACTATGTAATCGGAGCGATCTTATACCGGACTTTGGGCGTCATCCTTCCAGCACCAGCGTAAGTTCCTCAACACCATTTCTATGCACATTCTACTGTACTCTTCTTATACATTTCTGACCTTTCAAAGAATCCATCACAGTTTTTTGTCCAAGTTTCTGTCTCGGTCTTTATCATATTCAACATCCAAAGGCACACCTGTCTAGTCTGTTATTGCTTGTCTCTGAATATAACTTGTTATCAGACAAGTTATAAAAAAAAAAAATCATTCCCTCTTCCCAGTTGTCACCTCTGTGTTATGCACTGTCAATCTAATTTTGGCAAAGCGCTGAAGGGTTTCCATTTTGTGTGTCATAAACCCTCCGAGGGTCTATAGTGAATGTGGGGTTGTCAAAAGGCCATGGTGACACTGTACGGTGATTGTACTGGCCCTGAGCCCATGGATTCCGGTCAGTGCACTTAACAGAGGATGAGAAGAGATCTGTTATGTTGCTCCTTTTGTATACTGCCTCTGGTCCAGGAATGCACAAAGGTCGTTAACATTATTTTCAAAGTCATACTCTGGAAGTATTATTTTTGCAACTGTTAACCGGCTTTATGTACCTGTATACAAATATGAAATAAAACGACGTCCAGTATTTGAGATCTTAATTCTGCTGTAATGGACTTGTAATTGTAATCTTTGTGGAAGATATTATTGGGAGTAGTAAGGAACAGGCAGGTTAATGTTTCACGTAAAATTCACAATAAATATGTATTTACATTTTGCAAGGCAAGGCAAGTTTATTTGTATAGCACAATTCATACACAAGGCAACTCAAAGTGCTGAACAAAATAGCATTAAAATCATAAATAATGACAGAACATTAAAAAGAAAGATAAAAACATAAAAGCCCTAAAGTTGTATGCACAGCTAAACAGCACCGTTTTTAACCTGGTTTTAAACATTGTCAGAGAGGAGGCCTGTCTCACATCTTCAGGAAGATTGTTCCAGATTTTAGCAGCAGTGCAATAAACTAAAAACTTTTCTAACAAAACATCTATTTAGCTTTTACTTAAAGTTGAACTTAAACTTCTAAACAATATTTACCAGATGTGTTGAGTTTCCAGCTCTTAAAACTCGTTGGTTCTATCAGTTTTCTCGGTATGTAAAAGATCAATCAATCAACTAACTTTTATGTGTAGAGCGTCTTTCCTGCACGCTGCAACACAAAGCGCCTCACAACCCATATCACATCAGGCATAAATCAACATCAAGCATAAATCAGATCTGTTTCTTTTCTTTGTTTTTGAACAAGATAAAGACAGAATGTTGTGGTCTGATATGTTGACAAATGAGTCTGTTTGGACAAATTAAATGCATGCGTGAAACAAACATACTCAGCTTTCAAAGAGTCCACAGAAACATTATCCGAGAGAGACAGTCAGGCCAACCCGGGATGTACAGTGAGTGTCACATAGAATACCAACACAGCATACTGCATTTTCAAATACTATAGAGATACAATTAGAAGAATAAATCATGTTTTTGAATCTTTTCTGACAGTCCACCTGCAGTGATCAACTCCAAGATTCTGACTGTGACTGTCCGACCTGAACCACAGCCGAGCGAGCCCATGGTGGTGGTCGAGCTGTCACCACTCCTCAATGTAAGTTCCAGAGCTCAAATCATCAACAATCCATATTATGAAGTCAATTCAAATAACTGAACAAATATGTGTAATCATTATCAATCCCATTCAATCAGTGCTTCCCATACTTGTGTTTTCTGTCTACAAAAAGGTGTGTAAACTAAGTAACTCCAAAGCTGATTTATAATGCAGAATCTCCAAGTAGCCCTAGACAATGCGTAGTGTTATTGTAAGTTGCATGCACGGTGTCTTCAGCTGGAAGAAGGTTTAATAAGGGGCACTCTTCAAAATCCCAACTAGACTGATTTCATTAGGTGCGGAGCGAGGTAAAGGTGGGCAGAGTTGTGGAAATAATGTTGAATATTTAATAGAAAACAGACTATGTTTGCTTTGCTAATGTATCCACATGAACTCCAGGTCAGGAGGAGTATTGCTGATGTTTTATTATACATATTTAGTATTCATAACCATTTCATGACTCTTCCGTCTAACTGCTGACTCATAACATAGCAGTGCTGTGAGTAAAGTATAGCCGGGGATGCCATATGCTCTTGTGCTTCTATGTGGTCGGTATTTTACATATAAAGAACAGGAGCATGGAGGATGATGACTTAATGTTGATCATGGCCTGCTGTGTCGAAACAGCAGGTGTCGAGACGTTCAAAAGCACAGAGCTCAAACGTATCCACTCATTAAAGGGATGCTACAGGTGTGAGTACAGCACACTGAACAATTGAGACCAGACGTGTTTTTTTAAGGGATTCATACTAACTTTAAATTCTAATACAATGTTTACACACAAGTCCAGTGGTGCCGTATTTTTTTTTTTCCAGTATATTTCACAAAGCTGCAGCGTTGATGGTGAGATGTTTATAAGGTCCATGACACGTCATGATTATTTTTTACCTTCTTTTTCTCTCGACCCACTGACATGAGCTATTTATGTTGGTCCGTTGAGTTACATTGTTTGAGAATCCCTGCACTTGGGTTTCAGTTAATTACAAGCCAGTTATTTCCTGTCAATTGCATTACTGTCGCACAATTTTAAGACACACAATGATAGAGTAACTATGAACAGTTCGTTTTACCAAAACTACAACACCAATTGTATTTATAATTAATTGAATATGAATTATTCTGAATAATTTATTGCTATTATTATTGCATACTTCACTTCACTATTTTGCAAAGCCAACAGTTTCATTTCAGGCAAATACAACCATACTGTATTTGCACAGTGCTTATGTAAACCTGTGATGCATTATACCTCTTGTCTCTGTGTATTTATTGACCTATATCTTTAATCCGGATGGTGCCACTGAGTCTCTTTAAAGAAAGTCCTGGCCCCAGAGGGAATCCTATGGAGAAAATGTCAAAACCAGTGTCTTCATTCTTTGAAACAAAAGTCCTAAACATCTCCGCAACCCTGTTGCCCATGACAATTAAACATTAAGATTGTCTTTGTTTGATTTGAGTAATGAATCAGAGAACATTTTGACATGTTGCCTTGTACATGCATTGTTAGTTTAAACGGGGAGCGGCCATCATTTGCTGAGGCTGTAATAAGTGCTGACCTTGGCTTGTGATGCTGAAGCAGTGCCATGGCAACAGCTGCTATAGCTGCTGGACCTTGTGTTGTTGTCACAATTTATACTCTTCACAAGCCCAGTGGTCATGTGTCTCAGGGCTGAGATGGTAACGTATGATATATGCATGTTGGCTCATGGCATTTTCATACATTGACTTTGCTTTTGAGGCCTACAGTTACATTGAAAAGTTATTTATTACGCAGTGTTAATTACATGTTGTTTTAGGTAATCAAATTAGGTTACCTTTTGCCTCAAAAAGTAACCAAGTAATATTATTATGTGCTAATGCATTGATCACAAAAGAATAGATTAAACTCATGAGAGCTTTTATGTTTTACAGAAATCTTAGCATTAAACAATGCGTTTAGTTGTAGAACAGATTCACCTACTGTATATTCACCAATAAGAAGTTAAGTCTATAGATGTTTTCAAATTATTTTTGTTTAAGCAGTGTGAGATGTTTGGCTGTAAAAAAACAAAACAAAGTATCTGTAATCTAACACCAAGATCCAAAAAAGTAGAATGTTTTTTTTGCCAAAGGTTACATATAATCTAACTCAGTTCTTAGACTGAAAGAACATTTCCGTGCTATTCCATTCCTTTCACTATGTCATTACATTCTGCAGAGGTGAGTGTGGTTGGTGTCTTTGGGGGATATTATCGCTGCGCTCCTGTCATTATACAGTGTCAGTGCTAAAGAGAAGAGATCCATGGAGAGTGTACATATGTGTCAGTGAATCTGTAGAGAACAGTCGGACATGACGTCTCCTTGATTGATAAGGCAGCGCTAACATAGACGGCTATGCTAACACATACTTTGGGACATCTGATGTCCGTGACAGCAGCCGCACAAAGCACTGTCATCCATCAATCGCTGCTGCCCACTTGTGATCCTGTCTCTATAAACATTGCATCACTCTTTTCCTCTGAAGTCCTGCCGTGCACAAAGTGATGAACGTGGTATTTCATGAAAGATCACTTCTTTCTGAACTGTTCGAAAGCACAAGCGACCTTGTCTTTTTGAAGTCTACAGTGCTAACTTAAATGCACTTTCCTCTTACTTGTTTTACTTGAAGTGAAATATTATAGGTATTCCAACAGTGTTTGGGAACCGTCAAGGACTTCATTGCACTTAATCCTGGCAACAATCATGTTTCTTTGTTACTCATTCACAAGATTCCACTTGTTTATCTTTTTCCATTTAGTGTGGTGTGTTAAATGAAGTAGACGCTGTTAATAACTTGGAATGGTTCTTTCTCATAAAACCACATCCTCATTACTCACCCTCCCTTCTCTGCCAAGTAATAGACCACACAATAGACAGACAGTGCTCTGCTGTTCCGCTCTGTGCCTTTAGGGGGAGCTCCTCTATTCCCATTAGTCACAGTCCAAAGAGCAGATAAAACCAGTGGACAGAGACACCTTGGATCCAATAACCCTTCTCAAACCAGTGGAAGAACTGCGGCATTTGAATTGTGTAGTAATGACAAATGATTGTGGACTAACACTTTAAAGACGTTATTATATTCAGCTGTCTGACTCATCTGTCCAGGCTCCTGTTTGTGAATGCAACCAAATAATAGGAATAAATTATGCACTAAAAATACAGCAGTGCTTTTTGTCTGCCAGAGCTACTCAGGATGAAGAGGCAGGCACTGGAGCTGAAAGATAACTAATGCCAAATCGTTGCAAAGAGATTAGGATTTGGCCGTGGTCATATTGATGAATGTCAACTGGGATATTGATAATGTTATTGATTTAGTGATTGTGTGCTGTTGTGTCTTCATTCACTGTGACGAGGACATGCAAGAAAGAACTTGATTAATGTGTAATCCGGACGACTTTTTGACCTTAACTATTGGCTGCAGGGTCAGAGGAGGGTGTACTTCTCCAGCTCGGGCGGTGAGTTTAAAACTAAGAGCCCAGATTCCAGAGTGGAATTTCAGAGTTTCTTGTATTAGACACAAGCTTTGAAGCCCCAAATGTTCACAACTAAACAGACAACTCAATTCCTTGTCAAGCACGCTCATCTCTGCAGCGGTATTTTTATTTGGCCCCTTTTTCGAGCATGCATAGTGGAAATTATACTTATTTATCCACAACTTTTTGACAATGATCTAAATGCAAATGTAGTGCAGTGCGTGATTACTGCCCAAGAAAGCATGGATCAATAGCTTGTCTAAGTCTTAAAGGTCTTACTATTTTTTTATTTTTTATTTTTTTTGTCTGGGCTATTCTATTTTTATTTTGTTCCTCTCCTGTCTTTTGCTTATAGTGCTATGCCGATCCTTTACTGTCTTTTTAGCCCCCCACACAAACGTTTTTCTCATTTAAAACGTTTAACTCCTTTTGCAGATTGAAACGATTAGATCTGAGTTTACCGTGACGTATGTAATGCGCCCGAGTGAGTTGTTAACATTTAGCATTTAGCCTAGCCATCTCCTTTGCCGCTAACGGAGCCCGTAGAGAGTAGCGCCACAGTCTTTGCCATCCAATACTTTTGCTAAACATTCCTCTTGCTCCGGCTTCAATTTCTTGATAGAACCAGACCGGAATGGCATTCTTCGACATTGCCAAATTACAACCTGCTGGTTCGGCGCAAACTCTGGATGTCACCCACATCTAACAACACCGGCCTCCCGTAATAGCTGATTGGTCGGATGGAATTCAACCGATTGTAATCACAAACACAGGGACCAGACCCAGACGTTACGTGCGGGGAAATTATAATTGAGCGAAGTGTATGGGTGGCTAAGGCCAGGCTAGAGCAACCTGCTACTAGTGTCTATCCTTCCACCAGGAGTAGTGCCTAGTGAAGGACAGGCACTACTCCGGGCTTGCAGCACCTGGGAACCCATCTTGATGCACGCAGCTGGGTCAGAACTACTTTTGCTGGATAATTTTATTGTGCATGTATTGGGTGGTGATGGAAACCAGAGCACCAGGAGGAACCCGCCCAGACACATGGGGAAACATTAAAACTCCAAAGATAACAGGAGGGGGGGCAGGGAAGTCAAACAAACAACAACACACTTTTACAATCAAAACAGTAATTGCCGCTCTGATGAAATCTATGTTGTTAATTTCTTTTTCATTTATTTTTTTGTGAATGAAAAGACATTCAGATACTGTGCAAACCATTTCCTTCACACCCACTCCTCACTGTGGATTACAGTGCTTATATCTGCTGCTGCGTCCTGTGACAATGGCTCCTCTCTGTCGCCTTTCTTCCCGCCTGTCTCCATCACCCTTTCCCATTGTCTGCTTACATCTTCTTTCTTCCGTTTGTCCTTTGCCCATGCAACATTATTCTGTCTACTCCAGGACCTCATGTTATGCCATGATCACAAATAGCATTATCACCATGACTCAATCTCTTTCTGTATTTGTCTTGCAGGGCACATCCGACCCTCAGTGCGTGGTCTGGGACTATGGCAACCCGTAAGTTATTTCTTGCCCGACTTATACTCTGCATGGGACTGCATAATGGGTCGTGTTTGATGTTTATCTCATCAGCCCGTGCCCGCTCCGATTCTCCTATTAATGAACTGAGCACGGCCTAATGAAGTTGACTGTGACCATGTTAATTAAATTACTCAATGAGGGACATTATCTCTGTTTTCCTACGAGTATTTACTTATTGACACGCTGCTAACGCTTATTTTATTCAAACTTTCAAACTCCAATTTGAACAGAGATTTAAATAGCGCACAGGCATGTAGCATTTAGTTAAATTTAACCCTGTTCCCATTAGTGACCTAAAGCACAATGGCCTTGTTTTTGTAGGTCACTGCCTCTTTAGCATGGGAGTGTGCTGTAATGTAAAATGTCTAGCCAAGTGTGTGATGTTACCAGCACAATTGATCATGCCATCTCCATTAACCCATATACGAACCAGAGCATATGTGGCACCCCGGGTGTAAACGCAGGTCACAGACTTGGTACTATGAAGTGTAATCAATGCTTATTTTTGTTTGAAACACTCTATATTTATTGTTCCAAGTGACAGCTACTGGTTTAACGCATAATACATTACCTGTACCAATAATTTGACTCCAGCTTTAATTATTTTAAAATTTTTGATAGGCTGTATATAAAATCCCACAGCATGTTTTGTCTATATCCAAAGCCAAGACCCTGCCCTGTTTCTTCATAAGACATATTGAAACAAAAAAGGATAAAAGAGGGATGAATTTACAACAGGTTGCCAGATTATGAACAAATTTCCTTGTACAGAAATGATGCATTAGATTAATGAGACACAATATAAACGTTTGAGAGTTTTGTGTTGGTAAAAGAAACTAAGCTTCTACACCAGACACTAGTAGTTTTGTGGTGTTAATACTTACTATTGTCTGGTGTAGAATTATTATATATATTTTTTTTTTAACTAAAACAAGATGAATATTCCTAATCTGTCTTAAAGGTCTCGACCTGGCCCCTAGTACGCCAGAAAGAAAATGCTATTGTTTTGACATTATATAAGATTCATAATTCATATACCTCTGTAAAAAGTTATTGCCATGAAACCAAAGCTGGCATCTCCCTCTTCGTTATTGGTCAGAGCGGATCAGTGTAAACTATAAATGAATCTGTAAAATTGGTTCAACCTACAAACTAATATTTTGCAATGTAAACAGACAGCAACAGTGGGAAACAGGAAATTATACACCCCTCCTCTTCAAGGTGGGGAGGGACACAAAGCACAAAGTCAATTAACTAGCTGGCAGATTACAGCTGCAATCAAATTAAACTTTCACACATTACCACGGCACAGCGCCAAACGCAATATAAATTGTCAAAGTGGCTGGAGTGTCTATCAACCTAAACGGAGGTGGAAGGCATCCAAGTGTGGGTCTGTGTGCAGAGGATAAGCTTGAACATGTCAGAATGTCACATGGTGTCGCAGGTGTGGACACTTGGGCAGGTCAATACTGGCTGGCTTCCACCTTTTTTTGTATATGTTGAGACATGCCTATAGACTTCAGACTCAATATATGTAGTGAATGCAAACTGCAGTCAGCGTGTCACAGGCCCTGCCATTTTCCTTTTGGTTACATCAGTTCGCTGCCAGTTGCTATAGAAAATACATTTTACAGACTACAAAGGTGCTTCCAAGCCACCAAGATTATAATATGTTAGTTCTATTTAAAGCCTAACATCATGCTTTCTTTAAGTTATAATTTGCATATATGTAAAAGTAGAACCCTGTGAGTGACTTATTTATTCTTTGGGCTAAGAGCTGCTGGCTGAGTGAGGGTGCTTCTCTATTTATTCATTCTTCTGTCTGAAAACGATTTGACGTTTTAACGATGTGGCAGAGTCCAGAAAATGTGTCAGAAAATGAATGATAGAACCAGTGAAACAGATGTATTACATAATTAAATTCCATTTGACAATTAGGTACTAGGTACGCAACATGGTTTGACTTTACATTTTTTTGCATGATTCGATAGAAATATAAAGACAAAAGGAACATTCTACAGATGAAGATGGAATAAGTTATTGTCAATATTTCAAGAAGCATGGAATGGCTTTCCTCCAAGACATGAGTGAATAGTCAATAAAATAAAACACATATTTATTTATTTTCATTATATTGTGAAATCCGTGGGCTGGACATGTTATTATAGCATATGTTCCAATCACCAAACGCCTTCATAAGTCAGAAATGCTTATAGCGATGCATGTTCCGAGCTTTATAGGCCTATATTAATTACCAAGCAGAGAGAGACTTCTCAGGGGGTCCATTAGATCTTCTAAGCTTTTGGTAAATACCCTAAAGTCATCACCATTTGGACTCACAGATGCTGCTCAACCAGAGTTCTGAAACTACCCAAGTGGCATGTTTTTATCATTATTAACACATGTGCATTAAAGTTGGATTAACTAGCTTAGTTACATTCACAATTAGTTTACAATGTTAACATTATGTGCATGAGTATGTGTCATTTACTGCACTAATAGGTACATACACATTTATTGATAATGTATCAGCTAAACATGGAAATTAGGGACTCTCCCCCATATACTTTTTTTTTTTTTTTCATGGTTGAAATGACATAGCATTAAAGAATAATAAGAGTTTCAGTCATATACCAAAAAAAATATATACAAATAGAAAACTCTTTTATAATACTTTGTCGCTCCAAACCACTCCGCTCTCAGTAAAAAGTAAGACAGCATGTTGTGGTCTAATTTTATTCACAACAAGTTACTAAAACAAGACACTTTCTGTCTGAATAAACAAAATGTATGTACAAAAAAACATTTTAGCCAATCCAGCTTTAAAATCCATAATGCATTTGTATGTATTTTTTAGTTTTTATTGCCTACATTGTGTTTACATAACAAGGGTCACATGGGTCGCATGTGTCTCTGCGTGGGATCTTTAGCATGTCGGCGCGCAGCAGTGGCTCTCTGGAGTTGGGCAGAAGAGCACTTGATGTTGACGTGAACATGTGGTACAAAGCAGCCGTTTGTTTGCTGACGGATATCACCTCTTTCTGTCTGGCTGTGTCTCCCTGACAGAGCTACAGGCTTTGAGGGTGAGCAAGACCAAGGTGGATGTATATATATAGCCATATGAAGGCAGGGTAAACACAGCTGATCCCCTGCACCAAGAGTAAATAAGTTCAGACCAGAGATAAGAAAATAACTTTCATCACTGCTGTACCGACAAACACAAGGCTGCACCGATATGCAACCCCCTGTGTAGGTTTGAAGTGATCGGCGAGTGTGCGGCGCATGTGGTGCACTGGGTTTGGAGATAGCTCAAACTTGAAAACATTTTGAAGTAAGGTCAGAGTAGGTTGCATTCATGTTGTAGATTTCTATTTCGGTTGCAAGGCAGGTGGCAATACAGATCTATGGGAAAAAAAGCATTTTTTGACCTTTTGAAAAAAGAATAGGTTCAAAGTTTTGAGTGGTTGGATGTCCTTTTTGACTCTTTTTTCTTTGTTTCATTTATAGACGCCTTTATGAGATAACAATTAGACCATGGTTGATATGCACTGACCAAGAACATTTTAATCTTTGTGACTAGCAGTGAAAATTCAATTCAATTCAGTTCAATGTATTCTTGTATAGCCTTAAATCACCTCGGAAGACTTAACAAAACAGTTGAGTTCGCCAACACATATCAGAGAACCAAACATTTTTCAATGTTTCAACTTCCCTCCAACACAATTTTAAACTATGGGTTCTTTAAAATGTTTACGATGTCACATGAATGCAACCTTTTTCGGCAAAAGTGATCAGACCAAAACATCAGACTGAGATAGACCTCAGTGTGTTTAGAGAGATGTGTGGAAAGCGCTTGTATATTTCACTATCAGTCTTACTGACAAGAGCCCATTATGAGTTCATCATGATTCAAAGAACTTCTGAAAATCTGAATTTTGTGATAATTTCCCCACATCATGACGCCTATAAATCAACAGAAAAAAAGGATATTACATTTCCTGTTAAACTTGCAGTAAAATGAAATCACATTGCTTTGCTAAAGGGGACTGTAATAGACCATAATACTTTTTTTTTTTTTTTTTTTTTTTAAGGAAATTATACAGTGCAATACAGAATTATAACATAAGATTGACTGTCACAACATGGAGTAGTATTTTGACAGCGAGCCAAATTGCTTTGAAATGGCTATGAAAAGGACATTGTTTCTCAAATTGATTGACTCATGCCACTATATCTCCCACTCCAATATTTTCAAATCATTATTCATTTAAAGCTGGGGTACCTAGCTTTCCATCTATCCATCCATCTCCATTTCTAGTAAAGACAGAATGTAGTCTGATTTGTTGACATCATTTCACTTTTACCAGACTTCCTTTCTGTTGGGACAAGCAACATGCATTATTTATGAGAAAGGTACACTGTGTATTTTTTACTCCCATCTAGCATTGAAATCACATATTGTAATTTACAGTACTACGGTAGCTTTGCAGGACAAATATGTTCTCTTTGACAGTGGTCCCCAACTCCCAGTCAAACTCCTTTTTGTCCCTTATCAACCACAGTATTTCAAGATGGCGCATTGACATGTAGAGTCCTCCAGCTCTCATGGACATTTATAATTCAAAATCAAACATTTCAAAAACATGATGGAGGTAAATAATCTTAAACATTCTTAGACATAGTTACATTTGTTATTTGTTTTTGTTTTTTCGCTTCATTTGGAGCAACTGTAAAAATAGTACCTTTAATACAAAATAACCCTTTTAGCTATGTTTACCTATTCTTTCTTTTACCACAAAGTTGAACTCAATCCAAGCTTTTCCCTTTTGACTTTTGCTGACAGAATGTGGAGCTAAATCTTCTGGTGGGTGGGCTCTTTGTTGCACATAGGCTTATGCAGTTAGAATAAGTGCAGATTTAGAAAGAACAGCAAACATACTTTCCATTAGCAGAGACGCGCTGTACGGACGGTGGATTAGCAAAACCACACATTATAATTCCCATTGTCATTGCCATTCCCCTGAACCTCTCTGCCGGGGAGGGGGCTGTTCAGAAATCTGCATGTATAAGCACTGTCTGTCTACTTTGGCGTTTTAATTTCAGCGCTGCGGCTACGCTGGCCGACACTTTGCAGCGCTCACAGTTCATCTCGGTATTTATGTGTGACTATTTATTTATTTATTTAGCGCCTAACAGGCCCATATGCCAGCGCCATCTGCCCGCCCAAAACGCGGTGCACTACTATGGCACCATGATTTCCCCCCGGTGCCTTGTCTTCCTCAAACCCACCCCAACCTGCTCATCTCTCATCGGCCCCCACTGGTGCCCAGAGTCTGGCTTCTGTTTTACATGATATGAAATTTGTTGCATTTTGTTTGTGGAAGATTGACAGAAATGTGAGGCAGCTCTAAAAAGGTATTTCCCGCCAAAGTCTATTCAATTCTTAGTATGTATTATTTATTTTCTTGTTATGGGGATATGCATTTAATTCATAATCAGGTCAGCACGACTTTCTTTGGCTTTGTCTCTCTATTCCAGAAGTAGGCAATTATTTTCTCCTGAATATGAAGAAAACAAAAGTTTTTAATTTTTGACAAAAGCTACTTCAGATACCAAATGAATTATTTGATAAACAAATATCTTGAAGATGGATATACAGTGTTTTATTTTTGATTGAATGAAGTGTGTTTTTAGGTTCTCTTTGTGGCATTTGTGGCTGTTGTTTTGTTTTAACCTTTTTACATTGTGAAAGTAGTTTGAGAAAAAATATTATTTTATTGATAATGGAATATTATTGGTTTTGTTTGGATTGAACCAAAACTGTACCAAGCATTGTAGATGGATTTACAGATAAATGTTTTTGACAAATTATTGCTGGGAAGGGTCTGGGAGCCAGATAGAAATGACACGTGGGACCCCAGCCTCAGTTTACCCAGGTCTGATTTAATGCCCAGGGCGTTTTCTCTTTCCATTCTATTCTGTAAGTTTGAATTGGTAAATTACATTGTACATATAATTAATGTGAAAGTAAGCCCTGGGACTAGCTGACTATTGTCTAGAGTAAGCTATACCTTCCTCTGAGAGCCACTGCTGGGAAGACTCCAGAAAACGCATGACCAATACATTGAACTTTTCCTATATATTTTATTGGCATTGAAATTTGTGACACTGTCTTAGATGCCGCCTTAATCGTTTAACTGGAAAGTAAGAAATAACAAGTCATTTTAAATAAATATCCCCCACATATACTGAATACACATAATACCCATAATATGTTATCCCACCCACCCGAAATGTGTCAATCTTCTACGGCTATCAATTGTGATTTATGCAGCTTCAATTGCATTTCATTTGTGAAGGAATACACTGTTTGACTGTATGACCCTGTAGTATGTCAGTGTTCAAGAGCTCAAACAACACATTTTTAAAAAGGCACTCTTCCAACATCCTTTTGCAGGGCATCTAGTTTCATTTTTATTTTGCCTTTTACAAATTGCTCACACTTACATCCCCAAGTGGATCATCACACAGATTGAAACAAACCACAAGCTCCAAATCCAAATGGCCTGAACCTCTACAGCCCCCATCTGCATTGAAAACAGCTTTGAGTCGAGGCTACAGTCAAATGTAATATTCACTGTAGACGCAATTCATGGAAATAAACCCGTGAGAGGTGGAGGGTTAGATAATCCTATTTCTAATCCCCAATGGTCTTCAGTGCGATCTGGGCTCAGTGGAGGGAAAAAAGCATACCAACTAACTCAGTCATAATAACCGCCTGTGGAGCTGAGACCATAAAGACCTATAGAGCTATACAAGCTGTGCATCCAAATCGCAAAATGAAAGCAAGCATTCTATCATAATGGGGATTTTTTTGTTTTTACCAGTAAATTTGCTTGCATTAACACTCCTCTTAATAGTTTATCCACGCGAAGGAGCAGGCAGGGGGGTTGTAGGCTGATAGAGCTTGCTCCACTTTTCCATCTGACAGAGCAGAAGGGATCAAGACTATGTCAAACACGGCATGAGCGAGGAGAGGGAGGCACGGGACCGGCGACATGTGCACACTCTGCTAAATCTGCTGTTTGGACCCGTACCAGCGTTTTCACTTTAAGGATATCTCGGCCGGCAAATGCAAAAGCTTGGATTTTTTTTTGAAACGTTGTGAAGCGTATAGTTGTGGCATTTGAGATGTGGACTTAGCTCGGAGTTAGAATGAAGTCCTTTCTAGCTTTGAATTCGTCCGAATCAAAATGGAAGAAAGCATTACCTGTTATTTTTTTGGATTAACATCAAGCTTCAACACTTGCAATTGTTTCTGCTTCAGTGCACCTGCAAACTGTGACAGCTGTTGGGTAAGTCAGAACCCTAACCTTATGTCGGAATCTCTGCTTTAAACATGTTGCTTCCCGCCAAAAAGAAAAATGAACGTTTAGTGACCTTGTGCTTCTCGATGTAACTCAAGTTAAAAGTAAATTGGCTTATGTGACTGAGAATATGAGCAATTAAGGGCTGACCCATTGACCCTAAATGTACAATAGCCTATAATGTCTTTTTCTCACTCTGATTCCAATACCCCTGTTGTAAGTACACTACTAATAACCACATAACCTTTTTCTTTGCACAAGTCATTTTCAGCTTTCAGAAAAGCAGCTGAGATGGCAGGTCATTTTTTCTTGGAGTTGAACAGTCACAGCTCCTCTGCATGCACGAGTTTGCTTGGTAGCTCACACATCGGCTAATCTGGGAAAAGGAGCTTATAAATTAGCCCAGGGCCGAACGGGCCAGAGCAGTTCAGTGTCAAAGCTTCACATGGGATTTAAGGAAGAAGAGAGACTTGATATACAGTGTGTGTTGAACAATGTTACATGAACTATGGCCAAGTTGACCAATCAATTTTTTTTTTTCGTTTGTCAGTTTGATAAAAAAAGGAAAAAAAAACACTGTTTGGAACAAGCACCTCTAAGAGTGTTAGGGTTCAGCTGTAAAGAAACAAACACACACAAAAACATGCACACTGCATAGATATTTCTCAATACCTCTGCTTTACTCTGATCCACTAT